AGAGACAGGAGACCACAACACACCCAGAAACCTCCTGAGGCTAAAGAACATCATTTCCTTTCCTTCAGGCCCAGTTCATGCGCCAAGGCCAAGAATCCAGAGGAATATTTCCTAATTAACTGGCTGAAGTGTCTACGGCCAGCCTCTCTGCTTGGCAAGACCAGGGTTCATGCTTCTATGACTTAAACAGATTTGGCTACCCTCCAGAAGAGAAGAACTTTGCATTAATATCCAAAGCATCATTGAAGTATGACAGTTATTTTTCCAGGATTTCGCCTTTATAGGGGCTAAGATGTACATATTTTCAATGCTAATTTATGGCCATTCGTGTCACGGAAGAATGTTTTACATCCAGGAACGTGACCCCGATGCAAGGGTGTCATTTACCGAAATGGGGATCTCCTCTGGATGTTTAAAATGGTGGGCAATTTTTGTTCCCCAGTTGTTCTAATGGCCTTTGATATGGCACATAATCTAATGATGAAGTCTAACGTTTAGAGCATCGTCCATTAGCAGGTCATACAGTTAAACTAATTGGGACTATGTATTTCGTGACCAGCAGACCCAATTAGAGGAGCTTCAAGGTATTGTGCGATTATGCTGCCTCACGATATCCCTCGTTCTTCCTTTTGGGTCTTTTATTCATAGATTAACGGGTAGAAAAGAATCACAGACTATCTTTCACTCCATCCCAGAACACACACTGTTTGTCTTCTGCAAATCAACAGACATCCGCTGTCCACCCCCCCGCTCTCCTCGGTGCTATAGAATTCCTGGAAGTGAGTAGTTGTCAAAGAGTCGGCTGTTGCAACACGCGAGCTGAAGGGGCTGAGGACGGCACCACTGTACGCGTGTGCCTGCGATTTTACCCGCGTCTATGAGAAGCAACAACACGGCATCTGTGCTCCAAGGCTGCGACCGTGCAGGCCGGCGTCGGTACGACGTCGCCAGGGGAACGCAGGGGACGATCTGCCGAGATGTGTTTACAGAGCAAGGCCTCAATGGAAAATAAATAATAATACAAAATAATAAAAAAAATGTCTGCCTGCCCAAATCTCAAAACCAGGCGTTCTTTGAATAGCAGGAAAAAAGATATGAATGAGTAGTGCTTTTTCACTGAACCCCAGAGATGGCGAGGTAGAAGTATTTATAGGCCGCTGTCAGTGAAACCAAAGCGATAATCCCATTGAGTCTGTAGAAGCCGTGAACGTTCCGTAGCAACACTGATACTGCTGAAAGGGGCTCAGCTTGAAAGGCCACGTCTCCTGTGACGCTCCGCACACGCCGTCCCTGTCCCTTCCTCTTTCTGTCGCCCCGGTGACAATAAGCAGGGCCGGGATCCGTGGCCTCCCTGATAAAGGCAGTAACGCCACCGTTCTGTCTGTCCTCTCTCTGAAATCGAGGCGGCGTTTCTGCACAAGTGAAGCTGGATCGCTCGGCTGTGCGCTGACATTACCAACTTATTTTGCATATGTTGCTGAATCTTGTGTAGGGAGCCAAGACATTACAGTGAGTGCTGTACTCTTGGATTAATCTGTGGGCATTCGTGCCACATATTTGCAGATCTGATGCTAAGCCAGTCTAAATGAGGAAGTTGTTGTTGTACATTGTGAGACAAGTAAGAAATGCATATAATCCTAATATAAATATATATGTGTGGATGCACTCAAATGCTCCCATCCAGATAAACAGTAAGTATATTGTATGGTATGTGATTTGTACTTTGCAGAACACCAGACAAAGTAATAGAAAGTCTTTATTATTTTAAAGAAATTCCCAGGGAGGAGTTCAATGAGGACAAGATCATAATCTGAGAGGACTCATTTCTACCATCAAAATTCAGTCACACCTGCATAGATTAAAAAACTTTCGCAACATTTGACAGGTAAACAAAGGAGTTAATACCTCCCTACTCATTAAAAAATATCAGTCATGGGGACAAATCGGTCTGTTGGCTATGAGTACTGCAGGCCAGGCTATCAATCCGCGCATGCCCACAAAAGTGACATGCTTAGACGCCTGACACATCTACCATCATGAGCTCTCTTTTGTAGCTGTACCTGTTACGTCAGGTTCAGGTCCTGCCACAGGCTACAGCTCTACTTATATTAAGATAAGATTCTCTGCCTTGGACAAGAGACTGCCTCACTGCCTCACTGTCTCACTAGTCATCTCTGGGCACCTAAAGCAGTCTAGCGATTCATTGCCTGCCGCTAACTCTTCCCTCCCCCATTATTCTGTGGCAAATTGATGCCGTCGAGTCGACCGCATGCTGCTCCCTTTGAGCCGCCGACGGGCCCTAGACCTCTCCAAGGAGCCGTTACTTGTACGGCATCTATGCGTTTCTCCCATACTGACGACGTGCAAGGCTGCTGCCTTCGAGCCTCGCAACTCCACCAGTAATAATATTTATTACTTTCCTCCTAAGCATGATTGGCTTCCTGGGGGCTCCGTAGTATGTATAGAGGAGCTCGTCAAGGCTGATGGAAGGGCTGGAGGTGGGTACATTTTCTGGACCTCTCCGTGGGGTACTAGCTAATAAATGGCAATTAATGTAATTGCCACCTGACCCGGCTCTTTGTGGTAACAAACAATAAAGGTCTTCAAATAAATGTTCTGCTGAATTCATCAGCTTGAGGCTGATCTAAAACAGTTTAACATTCGCAAAACGAGGCTGTGCATTTACCTACATTGGGATGGACATAAAACTATGCTGACTGTATGCATGTTAATTTGATATTTGCTGGAAGGATTCACCCTTAAATTAATTTAAATTAGGAAGAACCGACTCATCCCATGACCCCTATACTGGATAAATGCTTGGGAGATGAAAAAATGCTATGTTATTTTCAGGATGAACTTCAGTATTGATCAGTATTGTATGGATCCCTGAAGCAAAGAAATAAGTAATAGGTAAAAAGTATAGCTATTACTAAACAATCACAATGTCTGTATGCCTATCACAGTTTTAAACATGATTATATTTTTCTAAAGACTACAGTATACAAGCAGTGTTTTCCAGGTGTAATAAAGTCTTGTACTGCTCTGTTCTGTCTGAGGTCTTCTTCAGATATCCATCAAATAGCTGCTGATACTAAAAATTTTGCTGCTTCAGGCCTAAAAAGCAGAAGGTTCCACCAAATGAATGGTTCACTATATGCCATCTCATTTTAAGTTTCAATATAGGACTAATTGAATCAGGTGGGAAGGACAGTCATCCACTGATACTGTTCAGTGATGTGAATATCATGGAAATGATTTTTTTTTGAATGGCTAATTATCATTCTTGGAGTCCTTACAATTTGTGGGTGAACCAAAAGTTATTTAAAAAAATTAAAAATAAAATTAAAAAATCCAATTCTGACAGGCTGTCCGGAAGTGCTGCAGAGTTTTTGTGTAGTTGCTGCTTTTTATTTTAAAAAAGTATGTCATGCAAAGCTGTAGGTCATCATTTTTCTAGCTTGGCTCTGAAGTGGGCTGGCTGTTTTCACTCTGCCGTTCTGACGGCACTGGAGTAGCTGGTATTAGAGTATTTCTGACACTGAGTAATGTAGGTCACAAATGCAGTCTCCTTGAGAAATGTGCCACAGACAGCCGCCAACCCGGCGCATCAATACCAGGTCATCGAAACTGGGCGTTTTCTCTTTCGTTTTCTTTTTACCTACTTTCCCCAGCGCCGTAAAATTAGCTCAGCAAGTCTGGAAGCCGATGCAAATGGAGTATTTCGTTATAGACACAGTGTTACTGGGCTAATACCGTTAGCTGACACACATTGGAATCTGTATCATATTATTTCAGTCTCCTTGTGCTTTATGAACGTAGCTGAGGTTATTTAAAGCCTCGTCTGGCCTCCCGCACGCTTTAAATTGAACAAAAAAGCCATGAAAACAGAGGCTGGATAGGAAGCTCAGTGGGTGAGATTAGAAGGAGTCTCATCCTTAACCTACCCGAGAAAGGCTGCTCCCTCGAAATACCGTCGGTGCCCACGTCTAATCTGAGACGGGCCGTGCACGTGTCCCTCCGCGATGGCACCCCGCCCACAGATGTGCACCAATCCAGCCCCTGCACTCCTCAAACCGCCAGAAATGCCAGAGGCGCTGATATCCGTCCAATTACGTCCAATTTATCCAATGTGAGCTCAGGCGGAACGTGACCTGAAAACAGCTGTGTCCCTTTTAGGACTAGACCCCAGGACACCCCGGCGCTGTCTAATTAACTGCTACTCCTGGTTTTCACAGATGGACTGCGGAGTGTGACATGGCTGGGTGAGGTTCTGCTTCTGATGCGTAACGTGCAACGGCGCTACATTTCTGTGCTGTACCAGAAACTCACATGGAACCGCAATATTAATAAGCTGGAATTCTTGTCCATGTGGGCGGGAATAAGACGTCAAAAACAGGCTCATTATCATATCTAACACGTAATTTGTAATGGATATTTCTCACACTCCCAAAAGCCGACAATATCCGTAGGAAAAAAAAATAAAGGAATTGTGCTTAATGTAATTTAACGGAGACCCTCTGAGCACGGGAATTTGCATCACAAGAATTAAATTAGATGCAGTAAATTAATACTAAAAGGCATTTTGTATTAAATGATGACTGTGGGAATTAAATTCATGAACACAGCTAACCTCAAACTCATTCAGAATTATTGTGCAGTGGAACAAAACAATATGTCTAAATGAATGCAGAGTTAGGCTGTTTAACCGAGTAGCTGATTGCCTCGTCAGGGGAGGGGGGAAGAAGCCGAGATGCCCATCTGCTTTCGTCAGCATGCATGCTCTTTATCTAAATTTAATTTTGTTTCCTTCAACTCTCCCCAATGTCGGTTTTCTAGCCAGTTCTTACCACACACCGAGCTGAACCCAGCGACTAAAGGTTCTGGCTCGCTGAAGGGGTTTAAACGGGTCATGGTTTGGTCATCAGCTTGCCGGTGTAACCCCTGACGGGAACTGGGACGCCAACGAAGCAGGCGGGCGGCTCTCCGGCCGCACATACCTGCTCCAGGATGTCGTTAATCCTGTCCACCTCACAGTCTATGAGGTAACGCTTCTCCTGTCGCCTGTCCATCTCCTCGATGATGCGCCTGTACTCCTGAGGGTCCGTGATGCTCCCCACCGAGCGCGCTGTCACTTGCCAGTTGCTGGCGACCGCCGACTCCATGATGGCTTGTAGAATTGAGAACCCTGAAGGGAAGGAATACACCATTACTCGCCTCAGCAAGGTTCTTAAAGCCCAGCAACTGGAGCTGGCCCTAGCTGACCCTGCATTGTGACCCCCCCCTGCACTGTGACCCTCCCTGCACTGTGACCCCCCCCTGAACTGTGACCCCCCCTGCACTGTGACCCCCAAGTTTGCTCTCACCTCTCTCATAATGAGCAAGAATGTCCCCACATCACTATTCTAAAACTAGAAATTCCAGGCCCCCTAAAATATCAAAATATCACCTTGCACCCCCCCACCCAAAATATTATGTAGCATTTTATATATTCAATGGGCCCTGTAAACTGCTGGGCCCCCTGAATCTGCCAGGGTACCCATGCTAGGGTATCCATGCCAGGGTACCCATGCTAGGGTATCCATGCCAGGGTACCCATGCCCCTACTGCACTCCAGGCCATGTGACGACAGTATTAGTTAACACAGTGGTATTCAGGAGTGACTTATAGTCTAAAATGGTTCTGCATAGTCAAGTTTGGCATTGCATTTTAATAGGAACAGAGAATCGCTGTTTTGTTGGGTGAAATATTTAGTCACATTCATTTGAAATGGATCACTGTCCAGGAAAAAATGCTCCATGCTAAAATGGCTTTGTTTTGAATTTTGTTGCAAACTGAAATGGCTAACCGTCGTTAAGCAAAAAAATCATTTTCAGTATGGGGATTTATTTAAATTTTGGTCTCAGTTCAAGGGATTAAAACTAAATCTGCAGTTTACATTTGTCTGGGGTCTCCTGCAGCACGCCGCCAGCCTGGTGAACATCACGGAGGCTCGCTGATGGTTTTACCACTCGGGTGCGTAGTGCAGATGCGGAAATAGCCGGGGTGCAGCGGTCACCCGCAGCCTCGTACCGGCATGTGATTAACCATTCGCTAGGAGACGTACTTCTGCGGATTGCAGACCATAACAACAGCTCGGTATTACGGGCCCAAATTGTCACCCTCAGTGTAAACACAAACAATTGAGTCCTTTTAGTCTTATCAGGGGATGATTCAGCTCAGTGAGAATCTGTCAAGGAACAAAAACAAAATGTGGGAGACACCAGTAAAGGTGTAAATTGCTTTTATGTGATAGAGAATGGACTCGGTGACAGCCGGCATTGCTGTATGCATAGCTTCAAGTGCCATTGATTGTACATAATAACCCCTAAAACAGCCTTAAAGCGCACATTTTCCCCCAATGATACCGGCTCCAAGAACTAATCTGTCAGCTTCAGAAATAAAGCACAAAAGTAAAAGACGCAAGAACAATCACCCACTTAAAATCACTCTGCTGGTGGAGAATGAAATATCTTTGTGAAGCACTGACTTTTTCCAACATGGAAGTTACTTGTTTTACACAAAACTGTGAGGTGCTTGTACTTGTGAATTACGGTATTACGTCAGGTTGAATACTTAGATTGCGCTAATGAACTGCCCCATCTCCAGATTGTAACGCGCTATAAATTTGTGTATGGGCTCCAGGGGTGGCTGTTTATTTTGGGAGAGTGGAACGGAAATGCTTCGACTGCATGCAGGGTATTGTTTCGTTAAGCATTAGTGGAGAATAATGGATGTGAAAAAGGGTCTTTTTTTTAACAATGATCCATTTTCTGGCCTTGACGAGCTTCCATCTCTGCGGCGCAGGTGCTGTTCCTGGTAAAACCCCTGACATCAGACAGCGTCAAGCTGGTCGGTGGCCTGGTGCCTTGATAATGTGAAACTACTCATTTTGTCGTATTTCACAACGTGCGTGTGACAAGCTAGATGTGCACCCATGTCTGTCAGTTGGGTGCATTTCGATCAGTTTAAAAGCAGTGATTGTCCTTTGGTATTGTCGCATGGATCTACTGTATCAGGGCTTGGTGGTCTGGAGCTGTAATATAAAATACTCCTGCCATTTATTTATTTTCTTACCCATTTTATGTAGAAAATGCATGCAAATTTATTTAAAATGGCGACTACTGTCTTCCTTTGTCATCTTAATAACAAAGGGCTACTTAATTAACAAAACACCCTTCCATTAGTAAGCTATCTAATATAATGTCTATTGACTGCTGTGACAATAATGCTGGATGCTTTAGCTTCAACAAATTATACACCAATATACAATACAGTATGATACCGTAGTTAGACTGAACATCCCTATCCTTGGTTATCATCACTGGCCTTCAATTTGACTCTCAAACTTTAGCCAGATTAGCAAAATAAGACTAATGGTACACAAATGCCTGTATCCAGTGTTTACAGAACTACACGGGCAAGAGGGACACACAGTGTCATATATCCTTTTGTTAGGCCAGTGTTTCCCCAGCTGGGAGGGAGCAAAAGTGTGGACTGTCTGGCAAGGATCTTTGAGGGAGCAAAAACATGGATTGACTGTAGGTCTCTGCAGACTGGTTTGGGAAACACTGCGTTAGACTATGTCAGTGCTCTTCACCAACCAAAGCCGTGCAATACAATCTAAACGCACAATTTAAAAATATCAGGTTACATTCATTAGAACTCATAATTCACTTTTTTGCAAAAGTGAATTTATTCTTTTCAGTATCCTTTTAGTGGTATTCATGCGATACTATTGCTCATTAGCCTGCCATATGGGGAAGTGTACATGTTATGTACTGTTTATTACAGAATTCCTTGATTCACCTAAACAATAATGTTTACTTTTTAATGACTTTGACACGTGCCTCCTGAACATGTCTCCTTTTAAAGCTGGCCTGCATCTTTATATTGAATTAAGTCTTGTGACTTATGTGTTGAATTAAATCTTAGTAATGCTTGACATTTTTATACATGCTACCAGTTACTTAGGCCAAAAAGATTTAGCAGGATTTAGAGATTAATCCGTTGCATAATTTACATCAGTTACCTTTAAGATGGTCTATTTGAATTCTTGCATTATACTGTATATGTCGTTTCATGCTAATATTCTCTTTGACAAAGACATAATAGTGTTATTTATATAAATGCCAAAATACATCTGAACATACTAAAATTCACACCTGAAATACTGATTATGTAACCATGAAAAAAATGTATATGATTGCCTATTAATAACCTTTAATACCCCTTGCAATCACAGCACCATCTGGGTAGTCAAATCGCAAAGCTTGCAGAGAAAGTCAAGTCGAGGTGAAACGAAGGCAGCTGAACTCCTGGGAGAATTTCACAGGACACAAAGTACAGCGAATGTCCTGTTCAGTCCTTCGGTCTGTTTTGCAAAAACACAGCCGCCGGCTTTGCTCAGTCACTCCAGGGAGCACGGCGCAGCACACGCCCCGTTCCAGGTGCACCGAGCGCGCTTCGCCCACCCAAACCGTCTCGACAAGGAGCAGTTCCAAAACCGCGGCGCCGTCCGCTTTCCGAAGCACTCCGCCCACTCTGACCTTGCCTGCTCTGGCCTAGATGACTGAAATGGAGTTTTGTCTGAGGTACACTGTGACGTATGTAACTGGGTCAAAATGGCCTCTGTAGGCACTATGGGTGGAGAAGTCATCCCAGTGAATGTCTCGTGTCCAGTGCTGGTGGGTTCCGTTTATGGTTTATGCTGTTAAATTTCACTGGGCTTCAATCAGAAATAAGGCAAAGACATAACGCGATGGCCTGAATAGCGAGCTTAACAAAACAGAACCTTACACATTTTTCAATGAATTTTACAGAATAAAACAGCTGTATGTGGCATGCATTGTGATGCTGTGATTAGTGTAACTTGATAGCGATTTAAAATGTCCTGAATAAGCAGAAGTTGAAACTTGACATCCTCAAACGTGCCACGTTTGCATTTTTCACCGATGATCCCAGAATGCCCTGCTTCTGCACAGGAAGCAGGCCACAAAGCTTATTCAGGAAGATCTCCAGCCTTTCATTCAGTCACTCCAGACCCTTTGAATCTCTGTGACTCAGCAATTTTTCAGGATTAGTCTTTTTTTCCCCTCTGCAGAATGAATAAAATGTACAGCGTGTGCAACTTGTCATGCGCACCAAAATATATATATAATTTCACCATAGTATAAAGCTGCATCTGTGGGTGGTAATTGCACTTTTCACAGACACTTCTGAAGAAGAGCCCAATTCATTTGCTATAATACGAGACCTTTAATGATGAGCCTTGTGATCGATAATCTCAAATATTTGTTCAGCTCACCTGAACTCTTTGGATGGGTCCAGTCCTGCCAAAGGCAGATATGAATGAACGCTTAGTCAGCACGTGGAGCCCAAGCACACCAAGCCCTCATCCACATGGCCAGTGTCACACTGGACTGAGGACAGTGTCCCTCCGGATTCTCCCAGAATGTTTCCAATTCATAATGAAAACATTTCCTTCTATCTCATCATATAACATATATAAAAAATAAACTCTGATTCATCTGATGAATCATTTCACAGCATGAAAACTGATGCCCCTGATCCGATTTGAATGCATCTGTCAGACCGTTCCTTTGAAGACCCCAGGCAAAGGTATATTTGTAAAAGTAATAGTGCTTTTTTAAACCATTTTCCATGATTTAATTATGTTTCAAACCCATTCCTTAAATAATTCCTCTTACTGCAGAAGGAGGCAGTGTTTTCGATTGTTAATTAGTGAATCACACTCTCTCCATCTCCTCACTGTGATACCATAAGACAGATCAGAGGGAAAAGAATAAAATCCTGTTAAGATCTGAAAAAGATTCCACACACTCCCGTTTCTACATTTATATGGAAATTAGAAGATGACTCTCTGCATGGTAAAGATTCCTCTCCAAAGTAAATTAATTTAGTCAGCATGAAACTTTCAAAGTGAGTGTGAAAATCTGAAAAGATGAATGGACGTTTTGTGAAAGGGGCTAATTAAACTGACAACTACAGTCCACTGCCTACATTCAATGGGATCAGGTACTGATAGTGATAATACTGGCAGCTGGTTGGGTTTAATGTGATGGCACCAAGTTTCCCAGGCTTGTGTTGTACAGCAAGAAGTGCATCGTCGCACCACTGTGCTTGCCG